GAAGGAAATAAGACACTTGCGGGGAGAGGAAACTGTTTACACTCGGCAAACTTGGGATACTTGGCTGGGATTTTCAGTAATATGTTACCGAGGATAAAACACTTGGATATTTCTTAAGACATTGGTAATTGAGGCGTCTCTAAATTCTTGGACTCGTCCACATTCACTGCATCGCGCTCAACGGTATCTTGAGTAGTTCCTCCCTGACGAAGTGCTGTGTACACTTGTGAGAGCGACACCAGCAGGTGGGGAACTACCCGCCAAACACACAGCGAAACTACGACGTTGCTACAACGTTTGAACAAGATTTAACACCTAACAAGTTATAAGAACCAATATAACAAGTTATAACAACGTTCTAATACGTCAAAAACACGTTAAGCCAAGATGTAACAACTTTATTTCAAGTTGTTACAAGCGGAGAAAAGGGTCAGTTACGGTTTGTGTTTCCAGGGATGGAATCTACGACTAGCAATAGTTATATCTATATGGCTGCTATTGAGTGATCCGTTGATATTTAGATATATGGCTCATCCTGTATGATGACCTGTGACATGTCTGGTAGTACGATGACCTGTTACCTCTCCCTGGCTTGACCTAGTTCGTGGTAGCACTTGACGCTAGTCCAAGTTTCCTCCGCCCCCGCAGCTCGGTAATCAAACCGGCTGCCAAGCTTTTATTGGGTACCGCAGTCAGCTATCTGATACCCGCTACCCGCACCCAGGTACCCGCACCCAGGTACCTAATATCTACTAACCAAACACGAAGAAAGACAATTTAGTGGAGAAATAATTAAGAGACGAGCATAAGAATTTGTTCACGAGACGTAACGAGAGCGGCAGCAGACACAGCAGGAATAACAGCAGCAGCACACTCACACACGCACACACTCACACTCACACACACGCGCACACACACACACGTTCATACCTATTGAATAAAAACGCACAGGAACTTGGCAAGTGTGAGGCATCAGGTTTGGCCACCTAGTTCCGGCAGGCAACTATGTGTGTGTTGTGGAGCAAGTAACCTGCCCGAGATCGCTGCCCACTGTGCGGCCACTCTTCACACCTCAGTGGTAACACCCTCCTCTTACTCTTATATGAACCATCACCTCTTTTATCCAAGTATATTTCCGCCTTTGCTTTCGTCATACTCGGGTATATGTTGTCTCTCTCTCTCTCTCTCTCTCTCTCACTCTCACTCACCCGCCCCACCAGATTTGCACACAAACTATGTAATAAACATATTTCTCTACATAGTACATATAACACTGGTAAAAGCTATCCAGAAAATTGTGATTGCGCCTTTTTAAAACATCATTGTTATTATTTGTATTGTAATTTTCAGTAACGTTAACAGCAAGATATACAGCTTGGCCAAATTCATTGCTTTGAACGTCAGAGAAATTTGCGCGAGAATTTTTTTGGGGGAAGGTTAGAAGTTTTTAAAAGTTATTTGGGGATGAAGCAGAGAGATACCATCGGTATCCCAAGGTTTTATTGACACATAAATTCAAGAGGATTGAAAATGAATGCGGAATTAAGAGCGCCTATTTAGAGCATTCAAATACCGTCGGTGGAGTTTTTGTGTGAATAAGTAGACAGAGCCAACATATATATATATATATATATATATATATATATATATATATATATATATATATATAATATAGAATATGTGTATACTCCGTATCTGTTAATTTGCGTGATGAATCTGTTGGCTTCGTTGGGAATGATGAGAGTGAAGGTGCCGCGGGTGGGAGGTTCTACTGCCTGGGAACCACAGGCTTAAATTACTGGCTCTTCTGTGGGGATGTTGCATGCACACACACACACACACACACACACACACACACACACACACACACACACACACACACACACACACACACACACACACACACACACACAAGAGCTAACAGCTTGATTCTGCACCCAAAAATAGTAAATACACGCACGTCAGAAAGAACTTGATAATTTTTAGGAGTCTTAAATAAGTTAAAGAAAAAGGAAGACCAAGTTGTCGAAGACAGTTCAATACACAATGTTAGATGTAAATATGATAAGAAAAACGCGAGGAAACGAGTCACGGCACTGAGATGTCCTCTAAATAAAATTAATTTATAATAATAATAATAATTTTATTAACAATTATACAGCACATGATACAGTGGTTAATTGTTACGGAAAATGCAATTTAATAAAGCCGCTAATACGCAAGACGTTGCTATTCTTATCTTTAAAGGTTGTGGGTTGTGAGAAGCACCAGTGCTGCTGGTGGCTGTGTAGGAGCACGTCACCTCATGTAACCTCTTAACGTAAACATTTCCGCTCAGGTCTGATTAAGACCTTTTCTGCCCTCTGTAATCCTTTTTGCGCTACCGCTCACAGGATGAGTATGAGGCGCACAATAAACTAACCGCCTCCGGCGGCAACAATCAGCAGATGCCGAAAATATTGGTGTTACTAGAAAAATATAAATCTGTCAAGCCATCCCAGAAGTCTTGCACCAAATGAACAAATGGAGCCCAAATGAACGAAGGCTGAATTTGTAGATAATACAAGTGTTGAAAATCGTATAGTTACCTAGAGAGAGAGAGAGAGGTGGTCCACTAATAATAAAATATATTTAATGATAGAGAAGGAGCTGCCGGCGTGTGTACACGGGAGACATCTCCCGTCACGCAGGGTGCAGTCGCACCTCCACAGTTCTCCAGTATCAGCTCTTGATACTGGTAATGGCTCAAAAGGGCTACCACTTACGGGCTATTCATGCCCGTGCCACCTTTTGGGTGGCTTAATCTTTATCAATCATCGGCGTGTGCAAACAAGAATAGCCAGAAAAACCATGCAAATTGCTGAGGGGACATATTGATAAATTTGAGTGGGGAGGGATGCCCAATTGACAGAGACTGGAAAGTGGTGGCCCCCATCAATAAGAGTGGGGAGAGGGGCCCCAATAGTGGAGATGGGTGCCCCATCACAGGGAGACAGGAAGGGGCCCCCACCACCCCTCCTCCATTGAGAATGGCGTGTGTGTGGAGTTGTGTGGTATGACGTGCAAGAAAGTAAATATAGAATGCAATTTCAACACATACTTGGCCTGTGTCCGACTGGCTGCCCTCTCGCCACACTCATTTGTGCACTCTACAACAGGTATGATCTATCGTACGCTACAGCATATACCTTATACATTGTGTACTTTACGCCCTGAATAGACACTTTCTCTGTATGTCTCTGTCTCTTTGACAGAGATGCCATTGGCTTGGGGACCATTCAAGCTTCTTCACACACACACCACACACACACACACACACACACACACACACACACACACACACACACACACACACACACACACACACACACATGCGAAAAGAGATAGAGAGGTAGATTCGGTAAAGCAGTATCGTACATATATGCACGTGTATATATGCAATAAAACATATATACAGTTGGTGAGAAAGTTTGGCCAAGGTGTTCATCATTGCCAAAATCTACCGCGCACCTCGCCCACTAATTCCCAGCAAACATACGACTTAACCTGATGTTGCGTTGTTAACACGTGAAAATATCGTGTTAACAACGCGTTAACAACACGTACAACGCGTTAACAACACGTACAACGCGTTAACAACACGTACAACGCGTTAACAACACGTACAACGCGTTAACAACACGTACAACGCGTTAACAACACGTACAACGCGTTAACAACACGTACAACGCGTTAACAACACGTACAACGCGTTAACAACACGTACAACGCGTTAACAACACGTACAACGCGTTAACAACACGTACAACGCGTTAACAACACGTACAACGCGTTAACAACACGTACAACGCGTTAACAACACGTACAACGCGTTAACAACACGTACAACGCGTTAACAACTCATACACACGTTACGTTGTGTGTATGATCACCTGCTAACCGTGTGCCCTCACCTATATTCCATTTGGGTTTGATTTACATACTTTTTAAGTAAATATGCGCAGGTATCGTTAGATTTTCGTTGAATCACATGAGTGGTTCGTGTAATTCTCCGGGCCCCATACAAGCCCTATATATGCCTAAATTATATACTGTATATTCATCTGTACACACTTTTTTTAATTCGAAAATTAATGTTCATAAGGCTTTTTGGGGGAGGCCTACATTCTATTACAATATTTGACTCCTGAAGCTGTCCGCAAGAATTTCAATATGGTGGCCAGATGACGTATTTGTCGGCTTCTTAGACTATATATACCTTTGTGGACTTATAACACACCGTTTTCTGTGACTATTGGACTCACCGTTTTCTCTGGCTACACAATACACCGTTTTCTCTGGCTATACAACACACCGTTTTCTCTGGCTACACAACTCACCGTTTTTTCTGGCTACCCAACACACCGTTTTCTCTGGCTACACAACACACCGTTTTCTCTGGCTTTACAACACACCGTTTTTTCTGGCTACACAACACACCGTTTTCTCTGGCTACACAACACACCGTTTTCTCTGGCTATACAACTTACCGTTTTCTCTGGCTTCACAACACACCGTTTTCTCTAGCTACACAACACATCGTTTTCTCTCTAGATACAACTCGCAGCTTGCAAGCTATTAAATAAATGTAAACAAAGCCGCCATGATTAGGGAAAGATGTACAGGTTTCGTATGTGGTTGTGCTTGATCCTGGCCCCTGGGTTCAGAGGTCACCTAATCTAACTTCAGGGGAAAAGTAATATAATATATATATATATATATATATATATATATATATATATATATATATATATATATATATATATAGGTTGTTCCTGGTAGCTTTAGCACCAGGAACAGCAATCATCATACTAACTAGGCGCTACAGGAATTGAATACGCTAGGTGCCCAATAAGGTACCGGGTACCGCGTAAACTGGGTGCCCAAGGTACCAGGTTGGTGTACCGGGGAGACCAAGTACCCCCAAGGTAGCAGAGGATAAGAAGGAGGACGGTACTCACCGGAGGGACTCGAGCTCCTCCTCGCGGATGTGAAGGCGCTTCTCGATTTCCACGCGGTAGCTCTGGTATTCGTTGCTGATCTTGATGAAGCGGTGCTCTTCCTCCTTGCGGGCCTGAAGGTCAGACGGGAGACAGGTCAGACGTGAGACTGGTCAGATGTGAGACAGGTCAGATGTGAGACAGGTCAGATGTGGGTCAGGTCAGACGTGGGTTAGGTCAAACGTGGGTCAGGTCAGACGTGGGTCAGGTCAGATGGGAGACAGGTCAGACGTGAGACAGATCAGACGTGAGACAGGTCAGGTGTGTGTCAGGTCAGACGTGGGTCAGGTCAGACGTGGGACAGGTCAGACGGGAGACAGATCAGACGTGAGACAGGTCAGGTGTGGGTCAGGTCAGACGTGGGTCAGGTCAGACGTGGGACAGGTCAGACGGGAGACAGGTCAGACGTGGGTTAGGTCAGATGTGAGACAGGTCAGACGGGAGACAGGTCAGACGGGAGACAGGTTAGACGTGAGACAGGTCAGACGGGAGACAGATCAAACGTGAGACAGGTCAGACGGGAGACAGGTCAGACGTTGTGCACACCTTTGCTAACTGGATAATACCATTCAATGCAACTCTCTAAATGAGGTTTATTTGATGATATATTGAAGGATTATCAATGGTGGGCATTTCGAGTAGTACTTACATTGTCAGACTCGTGGAGAGCGTTGGCCAGCTCGTTCCTCTCAGCTTCCAGGCGACGGATCTCCTGCTCAAGGTCATGCTTGAGGCGAGCCAGGTCGCCCACTGAACCCTTCAGTTCACTGTTCTCAGCTGCCAAAGGAAGGTGATGCCCATTAGTGTGATCCAGTCTTTGTCACCACACACACACACACACACACACACACACACACACACACACACACACACACACACACACACACACACACACACACACACACACATTCACACAGCTGAGTGGACAGTGCTCGGGGTAGTAGTCCTAATGACCTGGGTTCGATTCCTGGGGGAGGCTGAAACAAATGGGAAAAGTTTCTTTCACCCTGATTTTCCTGTTCATCTAGCAGAAAAACGGTACCTGGGAGTTAGACAGCTGCTACGGGCTGCTTCTTGAGGGATGTGTGTGCGTGTGTTAGGGAAAAATATGTGTCTAAAAGAGGAAAAATAGATTGATTAAAAAGGCGGGGTCCAAGAGTTAATAGCTCATTCTGCAGACACAAATAGTAAATACACACACACACACACAGCCCAAAAGGCTCAGGAATCTGTACACCAGTTGATTGACGGTTGAGAGGTGGGACCAAAGAGCCGAAGCTCAACCCCCGCAAACACAACTAAGTGAGCACACACTAGTGGCGTCCCACAAGGATTAGTACTGGCCATTAATTAAAAAATATATATAAATGAGTTCTTAATTAATTGGAATAAGCAATTAATGAATATTACATGTAAAATCTCGTTAGACTTGCATAAACTAATTAAATGGAACAACGGCTATTACAGAATTCATTGCTGCCAAATGGCTTATTGTTGAAATAGGCGTGGTAATAGGTCCCAAGAGTAGTATAGGCAATATCATTAACTCTTCAGGAAATGGGTGATTGAACTCCTCAGGAAATCAGCTAATGATAACCTCGGATCAGTAATACACAAAATGTTAGTACTAGATAAACTGAGGCAGACCCAAAGTAGTCCTTCATCTTCTTGCCCAGTTTTACCTCAAGTTCAGAGGACATGAAATAAAAAATAGTTAAGAAATTATGCACGTTAGATATTAGATCAACCCTCTAAGATGCAGTTGTAGGAGTATGGTGTCAGGCAAAATATAATCAATTTAATATCTTGCAGGAAAATTTATTCCTTAGCCATAAGATATGAGCAACGAAGAACGGCGAAAGATTTTGGATAAGGAAGGAACTAGGACCTCAGTCGAGCCGTAGAGATGGAAGGGGGTACTTTAGTATTCGAGAAGTGTGGACATCATTGATGAATAGCCATAGTGTCCTGTGAAGTACCTTCCTTTCCTTTGCATACAGATAAGAAAAAGTGGCACGGGCATGAAAAGCCCGCAAGTAGCTAATACCAAGATATGTGCTAAAAGATGAACAAAGCGAGGACCCAAGAGTCGGTCTAGCTGAGGCAAATATTGACTACCAGAAAGCGGAAAACCAGGCGTAGGAGCAGCCTGCCCAAGTATTCAGTTATTATTATTAAAAATATATAAATTTACCTAATCTGAAGTAATTCAACCAGGTCTTGTTAGTGTGAGGTGTTGCTCGAGCTCACTGCCACACTGGACAGAGGATTGCATAACAATAACCTATTTGTATTCACAGATCTAAGAAAGTTGAACTATGCAGGAGGGATTGTATTCACAGATCTAAGAAAGTTGAACTATGCAGGAGGGATTGTATTCACAGATCTAAGAAAGTTGAACTATGCAGGAGGGATTGTATTCACAGATCTAAGAAAGTTGAACTATGCAGGAGGGATTGTATTCACAGATCTAAGAAAGTTGAACTATGCAGGAGGGATTGTATTCACAGATCTAAGAAAGTTGAACTATGCAGGAGGGATTGTATTCACAGATCTAAGAAAGTTGAACTATGCAGGAGGGATTGTATTCACAGATCTAAGAAAGTTGAACTATGCAGGAGGGATTGTATTCACAGATCTAAGAAAGTTGAACTATGCAGGAGGGATTGTATTCACAGATCTAAGAAAGTTGAACTATGCAGGAGGGAGAGGGGAAAAACACTGCTCCCCAGGAAATGTATTGGTACAAATTATATTATAGTGACGTTTTCTATACGTCGGCTTCGATAGGTTAGTTAGGTTGCTTGGGCTCGTAGGTGTCTGGGTAGACGAAAAGGTTGCATTTTTAACAGCAGCTAATGGGGGAGAACTAGATGATCTAACACAGACATACAAGAGATGATGCTGGAGGTAATGGAGGTCACCTACCATTGACCTTCTTGTAGTCGAGGGAGACCTTCTCATACAGTTCCTTGACGTGCTCGTATTCGCTGGAGACCTTGTTGTACTCAGCCACACGCACCTTGAGGTCCCTGCTCGTCTGCTCGTACAACAGGTTTAGTTCCTCGTATTTCACCAGCAACGTCTTGTATTCGCGGTCCACTGTTTCCAGTCGCGCCTTCACTTCGCGGTGGTTGGCGTTGGCCTGCAGCACAAGTATATTAGTACAAATATATAATATTTTATGTATATATACAAGAGTTCTTACATCCTTGTAAAGCCACTAGCACGCATTGCGTTTCGGGCAGGTTCTTAATCTTAATTTTCCCCGGAATACGAACCGCCAAATCGTTTAACAACCAGGTACCTATTCACTGCTGGGTGAACAAAGGCTACACTTAAGGATTGGCGCCCAGTCAATCCTCCCCGGCCAGGATACGAACCCAGGCCAAAGCGCTCGCAAAGCGCCAGTCGAGTGCTTTACCACTGTGACACGGGAACTGCTTCTGTGTGTACTACAGTACTGTAGGACCTCTGTGTACTGTTGATACAGTAGTCTAATAATGCTGCCTGACATTAGAGTGAAAACGTTTCGTGTATAAATTATATAATATATTACCCGGGATTGGAGCACATGGATTCTTTTAAGCCAACACATATGTGTGTTTGGTCTAATATTTCATATATATATTTTGTCTACATACTTTTTTTGTCATCTAGACCTTTCTTCTATTACTCTTCCTTCCTTCCACCCCCCCCATTCTCTCTCTCTCTCTCTCTCTCTCTCTCTCTCTCTCTCTCTCTCTCTCTCTCTCTCTCTCTCTCTCTCGTCTCTCTCTCTCCTCTCTCTCTCTCTCTCTCTCTCTCTCTCTCTCTCTCTCTCTCTCTCTCTCTCTCTCTCTCTCTCTCTCTCTCTCTCTCTCTCTCTCTCTCTCTCTCTCTCTCTCTCTCTCTCTCTCTCTCTCTCTCTCTAAAACTAAGACTAGGGTTCATAAGGGCTGTCAATTGACATACCTAGTGAAACTGCAAGCAAGAGCTGTTATACTACTTCAGCTCATCTGAAATCTGCTCTAGAGGTTCATTTATTTCAGGATCTCTCTCTCTCTCTCTCTCTCTCTCTCTCTCTCCTCTCTCTCTCTCTCTCTCTCTCTCTCTCTCTCCTCTCTATCCCTCTCTCTCTCTCTCTCTCTCCTCTCTCTCTCGTCTCTCTCTCTCTCTCTCCTCTCTCTCTCTCTCTCTCATCTCTCTGCCCTGCACCCTGAGACCCACTCTCACCTCTACACACCTCTCGTCTAGCCCTCACCCCCTTCTCAAGGTCAAGGATCATGATCTCGATCTCCTGTGAGAGGCGGCTCTTCTGCTTCTCGAGGGCGGTGACCTTCTGCGAGAGACTGCTGCAATGCTCCTCCAGCTCCACGATCCTGATGTGCAACTTCTTCCTGCAACATCACTCGAGTTAACACCGGTGCTTTCCCGGGTGCTATGCAACACCCAGGGTGCTATGCAACACCCAGGTGCTATGCAACACTCAAGAGTGTTTGATGGCGGGTTTATTGTGTGATGTACATTGTATGTGATGGCAGTTATGTGGTGTATAGTGAGTGATAAATGTATTTATAAAGGATATTCAAAATGTCGTATTGTGGGTGACTATGTATGGCAGTATTGTAAGCTGTCATACATGATCACACACCACACACCAAACTGTCATACATGATCACACACCACACACCAAACTGTCATACATGATCACACACCACCCACCAAACTGTCATACATGATCACACACCACCCACCAAACTGTCATACATGTCAACACACAACACACCAACTGTCATACATGGACACACACCCACACACCAAAACTGTAACTTAAATCGATCACACACACCCCCACACACACCAAACCCCCCCACTGTCTCAACATGAACACACACCCACACACCAAAACTGTCATACATGATCACACACCACACACCAAACTGTCATACATGATCACACACCACCCACCAAACTGTCATACATGATCACACACCAACCACCAAAAATGTCATACATGATCACACACCACCCACCAAACTGCATGAACCACATGATCTCAAACACACCACCCACCAAACTGTCATACATGATCACACACCACCACCAAACTGACTAAAGTCTACCTGTAAGGAGACCACTGCTGAGACTCACTTGATCTCCTCGACGTCCTCGTGGTGAGCGCGACACTCCTGCTCGTACTTGCTCTTGTACTGAAGGACGAGAGCCGACTCGCTGCTGAACTTGCGCTCGATGTCGATGCGGAGCTCGCACTCCTCCTCGTAGGACCTCCTGAGAGAATTGAGTTCGTTGGCGAGGGCGCTGATTTCGCTCTCCAGCTTACGACGGCGCTGAGGGAGGGACCAAACTAGATTAGAACTCGTAGGTGATGTCGCTATGAGGGAAAAAGCCAACGTAATCCTCAGAAGGATTTGTTGTCATTGTAAACTCATACATTAGAACATGAGACTATAGCAACATTAGAACATGAGAATATAGCAACATTAGAACATGAGAATATAGCAACATTAGAACATGAGACTATAGCAACATTAGAACATGAGAATATAGCAACATTAGAACATGAGAATATAGCAACATTAGAACATGAGACTATAGCAACATTAGAACATGAGACTATAGCAACATTAGAACATGAGATATAGCAACATAGAACATGAGAGTATAGCAACATTAGAACATGAGAGTAATAGCAACATTAGAACATAGAAACATGAACATGAGACTATAGCAACATTAGACATGAGAATATAGCAACATTAGAACATGAGAGTATAGCAACATTAGAACATGAGAATATAGCAACATTAGAGCATGAGAATATAGCAACTGCAGAAGGCCTATTGGCCCATATGAGGCCTCCCTCCTATTTATATATTCCTCAAATCATTCATATATATATAGCCCTTCCTCTTGTTTTGGTAGTACTTATAGGAAGGATGAGGGCCAGGCTACGAGGCCCCCAAATACATATACCATATACCATAGTACATATACCGACGAGCAGTGCAATTAGAAAGGTATAAATCGGTACTATTGAATTTGGACAGAGCGGGAAACATTTTCTATTTATGTTGCAAAGACAAATTAAGCTAACCTAAGCTTTCTAGGCCTAATACACGCTATTTGAGGCCTAATATAGTACATATGTGTGCTATAGCTGGTCTAGGAATATTTAAGTTTGTATTTTAGCTTAAAATGTTTCGGAATATAAAGTGAATAGTATCAAATTCTCGTGCACATATCTACTTCCCTCCCTCACTCTCCCACTACCCAGTGTGTCGGCGTCTCCCACTACACACTGTGCCGGCCTCTCCCACTACACACTGTGCCGGCCTCTCCCACTACACACTGTGCCGGCCTCTCCCACTACACACTGTGCCGGCCTCTCCCACTACACACTGTGCCGGCCTCTCCCACTACACACTGTGCCGGCCTCTCCCACTACACACTGTGCCGGCCTCTCCCACTACACACTGTGCCGGCCTCTCCCACTACACACTCTGCCGTCATACTCACTGCTTCTTCGGCGTCGAATTTCCTCCTGTATTCCTCCAGGGTGTTGCCGCTGGAGCGCAGAGTGTAGTTGACCTCTTCAATCTTGACCTTCAGTTCCTGGACGCTCTTGGTCAGCTCCACGTTCTCCTGTAAGGGTGTGAATTGCGTGTCAGGTGGTTACCATGTCTGTACTGATGTCTTAGAGGTGTGTTATACACGAGGCTCCGTAATACACGTGGTCCTGTTATACAGGTCGTCCTTTTATACATGTTATGTTTTGTATATATGTGGTTATGTTTGGTGTACATGGTGTAGTCCCTTTAGGCTAGTATAATTCCAAACGTACACACAAATACTTCTATGACTACATAGATATAAGTAGCAATAATATGTATTGAAAAGCCTACAAATAAACATTCAGACAAATCAAACAAAAGGTTACAATGTTGGTGTAAACATTCTTTATCTCTCCAGAATATCATCAATCATTCCGTTCTGAGATCCAGGCTATTTGTTCAGGAAACACTTCGTGTCCCTTACTGTACTGTTCCTGAGATAAACACAAGGTATAAACATCTAAATCTATACACAACATTCGTTACCCCCACATCTATCTCTTAACCATGTCTCGTCCCTCATATCATGATTCTTCCCTCTTCCTCCCCCAAAACTTTTTTCCCCACCTCACCTCTCTCTCTATCTCGACCTCTCATCTCTCTCTCTCTCTCTCTCTCTCTCTCTCTCTCTCCTCTCTCTCCTCTCTCTCTCTCTCTCTCTCTCTATCTCTTCTTCTCTTCTCTCTCTCTCTCTCTCTCTCTCTCTCTCTCTCTCTCTCTCTCTCTCTCTCTCTCTCTCTCTCTCTCTCTCTCTCTCTCTCTCTTCTCTCTCTCTCTCTCTCTCTCTCTCTCTCTCTCTCTCTCTCTCTCTCTCTCTCTCTCTCTCTCTCTCTCTCGCTCTCTCTCTCTCTCGTGTCTCTCTCTCTCTCTGTGTCTATCTCGTCTCTCTCTCTCTCTCTCTCTCTATCTCTCTCTCTCTCTCTCTCTCTCTCTCTCTCTCTCTATCTCTCTCTCTCTCCTCATAATCTCTCTCCTCTCTTCTCTTATCTTACCATCTACCTCTCTAATTCCTCTCTGCTCTTACGTACCACACTGAGGCGCTGCTTGGAGGAGGTGATGTCGACGATGGTGCGGTTCAGCTCCTCGATCTTGATGTTCAGCTCCTGGATGGTGATGCTCAAGCTCTTAATGGTCTTGTGGTAGTTCGCAGACTCGAGAGTTACCTTCTCCAGCTGGTCTGAGAACTCCAGGGCCTCCTGCTGGTACTTTGCCTTCTCCTTCTCAATCCTGCGGGGTTAGAAAGTTTATAGTGTGAGTAATGATCGCTAAGTTCATTACGCTAAGTTCGCTAAGCCAGTGTGGCACAAAGGTAGACTGTTGGATTAAGTAAAAATCATCGATTGTTGTAGGCGGGGACTTAACTAAAACAATCCAATGTTTGAAATGTTTGCTGTCAACCGTGGTAAACATTGCTGTCAACGGTGGTAAACCTTTCTGTCATGGGAAAGTTTGCTGTCAACTGTGGGTAAACTTTTCTGTCGACAGAAGGAAACTTTACTGTCAGCAGTAGAAACTTTGCTGTCAACAGTGGAAACTTTGATATTAACACTGAAAAACTTTACTGTCGGCAAATCATACAAATATTTCTGACACGATTACTATTTGAAGGTACACTCAAGGTACATTTAAGGAACACACTCAAGGGGTACACTCAAGGTACATTTACACGCACACGCATCCTCTGTTCATCCTATTCTGCGAATTATCCCACAGCCTGTGACGGCATTTGATACAGGGTTCTCTAACACAGGATAGCCTAAAACAAGGTAGCCTCGCGCAGAATTACCCAACACAGGATATCCTAGCCCAGGCTGACTAACAAAATAGCCTGGTGCAGTATTACCCAACACAGGATATCCTAGCACAGGATGGCCTACTAGCCTAATTGGGAAACACCGTTACAAACAAAGAAACACATACGTAGTAATTCAAACAACAAATGTATAAAGGTGGGGGGTTATTATTTATATAAATCAAATTAAGATCTAATTGAGAGGGGGCGTGGTCGGACAATATTGCCAAATCTTTCACGTCGCTGATTATATTTGATAAATAATTAACATCCCACGATATACTCGCATGTTATGAAATCCCTCAAAATAAATAACAAATCATAGCTGATCATCACGTAGTAATTAAGTGAGACAGAGTAATTACTGATAAGGGTTGTTGAAATGTTTGGAAACACGGGCGTTTGAGCGGGAAAGCTGAGGAAGGAGGACCGGCTTAAGGGCGCTCAGTCATCCAGCAGCACTGGAAGGGGCAGCCTGTGTGTCTGTGTCTGTCTGTCCGTCCACTGCTAGGCCCAAGGGGACGGGTCTTGTCTTAATTTTGGCTTCATGAGAACTTAATTTACTGTATCTCCAAGCGAAACGACGATGAACGTTCTCCAGTGAACTGTTTTATAGACATAATTGCTGGATTTAGACAGTTGTTACGACGCCATTGTGAAGTCATAAATACGTGTGTCAGACATGGTGTATTATGTCTGAAAATGTAAGTATGTTCAGTCCCATCATGATTGTAACGGTTCTTATAGGTTGTTACGATACAAGGTTTCTTCCTGTGCAGCTACAGTAGGGGAATTATATGTTTGAAGCGTCACTTCTGCCTGAAGTGAAGCAAAATAGTTAATAATAACTATCTGAATTCTCGCCAGATTTGTCAAGTTATCTTATTGATAACTGCACTGCCTGAAGCTTCCTTAAGTCCTGTGTAAGCACCTACATCATGCTTAAGACAATTGTGCACGTAATTAGTGGCGTTATGTAATAAATAATTACAGTGATCAGTACCATGATCCGTGTGATAAATTATTATTATTTTATTATTTTTTTATTATTATTATTATTATTATTATTATTATTATTATTATTATTGAGAAAATGCACTTGGGCTGTGAGGTGGGTGGGAACCTTCGACCATTGCCAGCCACTTTACCACTAGACTACAAACGACTTTTTCATTGATATATATCACATTAGTGTGATTTCTGTATTATTATTATTATTATTATTATTATTATTATTATTATTATTATTATTATTATTACCCATTGCTATTTGTGTATCTTTGACAGTTTGGCATAATTAATGACCTGGAATGAGTGCATATATGGAGATATTCCAGCTTCTCACTTGATGTTCATCATGAAGCCAACACTGTAAAGACTCCCTGTGTATGTTAATCTGTGTTACTGGCTCGTCAATGCTGTAACTTGCTCAGTTAAACCAATACTTCGGTTCACTTCCTGAGCCAAGTATTTGCCTCTATACCTGTCACTACCACTCAGTATGGGTATATGGTTCATAGTAAATGGATGGGGTTTTAGTATGGTGCTTTATTATGCCTCCCATGCCCATCCTGTGGGCATGGGAGGCATAATAAAGACACATAAAGGGTTTAGGAACTGAACACCCAAGTTCGTTTAGCTAGGCAAATTCAGGTGCATAACATATAGGTGGATATGGGGTGCATGACATATGGGTTGGCATAATACATGATGGGGTATGGGGTCTATTACACATGGATGTACACGCATGATATAGATGGGTATGGGGTGCATGACACATGGATGGGTATGGGGTGCATGACATATTGATGGGTATGGGATGCATAATAAATGACCCAACTAATCCTGACTTACAATGGTGGTGTTTCTTTATTTCAGAACATAAGTGTGAGGGTGTGTGTGTCTTGGGTACACCAGGTGTCTGGGACACTACAGGTCTGTCTGGGGTACAACAGGTGTACGCGGTAAGTGCCACATCTGTTGTTTGTTTACTCTTGCTACAGGTGTGTTGTGATTACTCTAATCAGGCAAAGGCTTTGGCGATAATTATCTTCCTCATATATATGGAATCATCTGTCGGATAATAACGCGTTCATCTGTTCCGTTATACTCTGGTATATACTCTACTATATTATACTCTAGTATAATTTGCTTATTGTTTTATGAGCATGGTTGGAGATTATCAAACTGCCAATTCACATATTGAGATCAATAAAACAATTGGCAAGGAACACTGAAGGAATCTACTGAAGGAAGAGAAAATACTGAAGATGGAACTTGTAACTGCTGAACGAGATAAGAGTGTCTACTGAAGGAGGGCTTATTTTCAATAGAAAAAATATTTGATAAGATAATATATGGTATTCATTATTACTCAGTCAGTATTGTTTGTTTCACTGTAAGACTGAATCAGTGATTAATCACTTCCCCGGGATTACTAAGAGACTAGTCGCCTGGCTCAACCTGGTGATCTCGGTACTAGTAACATAGACTAGGTGCTAGTAACAGTCATGATCCTAGCTAGATAGGTCGTCTGATTGATGCCAGCATTTGGTTGTACAACTAGCAGACGTAATAGGCGGTACTTAGTCATCTCTGAACCTCGTTAGTACAAGTTGCAGATAATCATTAACTTGGGGGAGGTACAAATGTCAGGAGGTTGTATAGTTTTGACTAGCCAGTGATGTCAGGGGTTTTGTTTTGACTATAGCCAGTGATGTCAGGGGTTTTGTATTTGACTATAACCAGTGATGTCGGGTTTTGTTTTGAATATAACCAGTGATGTCAGGGGTTTTGTTTTGACTAACCAGTGATGTCTGGGGTTTTGTTTTGACTAAAGCAGCGATGTCAGGGGTTTTGTTTTGACTAACCAGTGATGTCAGGGGTTTTGTTTTGACTATAACCAGTGATGTCAGGGGTTTTGTTTTGACTAAAGCAGCGATGTCAGGGGTTTTGTTTTGACTAACCAGTGATGTCAGGGGTTTTGTTTTGACTATAACCAGTGATGTCAGGGGTTTTGTTTTGACTAAAGCATCGATGTCAGGGGTTTTGGAGCACAGACTCACTTAGTTTTAACTTTAGTGAGAATGTCGATCTGGTCCTGGAAGTCGATGACCGCTTCCTGATGTTTCTTCTTGAGCATGTGGTGGGTCTGCTCGCTCTCCAGATGCACATCCTCCAACAGCTTCCGCAGCTTGGCCAGCTCCGCGTCCCGCTTCTTGTTGATCTCAATCTGCAAGAACAGTCTAGGGTGAGTCTCCATTGTTTCTTTCTCACCTCTTAATAATAACAAGGGTGGATGAGTAATACAGCTGAATTTGACCTTAACAATTCATTCCGGTTGTCGGGGATAGGAAGCTTGTACTTAGGCCAACTACTGACCTTTCCTAGAATGCAACCCATAAGATGCAACCTGACCAAAGAGCCAAAACTCAACCCCCGCAAGCCCAACTAGGTGAGTACAATAGTTACCTAAACTCCCGGGTACCTATTTTACTGCTAGGCGAACAGGCCCATTAGGTGAAAGGAAACTTGTACAACCTTTTCTGTCCTGCCTTGGGATTGATCCCAAGATACGATCGGTTGTGAGCCGAGGACATAAGCCACTGTGTGTATACCATCGCCATCTTTCCGATAAAAGGTTTCGATACGTCTCGTCGAATAACATCGACTTGATGATGACAAAGGTGTTTACCTAAACCATATTCCCGAGCGCCGGCAGTTTATTCCCGAAGAGCTGTCTTGTTGGCCATTTGTGACGAGCCGTTCCTGAGCATTCTCTAGCCCTCGTTCCATGTGTTTAGTTACAACTTGTTTACCGGAGGCAGAAGGACAAGTTTTCAATACAGTGAGGTATATCGAGGACTCTGTGGGAGGCGTCAACGTTGATGCCCTCATCCCGCCGATTGAAATGTGTTATTTCGACAGATGAAGTAAAAGTTGTTGATGGTGGTACAGGGTAATGGTGGCGCAGGGTCGTTAGGTTGTTAGGGAAGGTGGATGTGGCAGGTGAAGCAACTATAGTTCATCCAGCACGCCCACCCACTACAGTCTCACTGCACCCTGCACGGCCACCTGCTAAGCTCGCTACACTCCTTCACTTGATTCACCGAGAAGCTTCAGAGAACACAAACACCCCAGGAACGCTGAGGCAATCGCATCAGGAATATAGATACACCGGTTTTGCGCAGCTACGAGAGAAACTTTTATTTCAATTGAATGATTAAAGGTAGAATCAGTACATCACGAAGGGCTAAAATCGCGAGATCTTACTGAACTATAAAGTGTTGAATTTTGGAGTTGATATTTAATTTTAAGATATTTTTTTTAATTGAGAAACATTGGCATAACCGATATAAAATAGAGATACACGTCCTTGATGCAAATTTAGTTACATAATAATGGTAAATATGAGCATAACATAGAGGCAAATATCTGTTCAATTCACATTGGAATATTTATGTTTTTTTGTGACGAAATCTTTGGCATAACAAAGTAAGAAACATTATCTGAAGCCTTAGAGGGAAACCGAAACACCTTGAGAGTTAATTACTCTTGGTACGATATCTATAAATTGACGCGATGGAACCATCTTAACCCAACGATCTAACGAGACATACTCTTAATGGTGCCATAAAAAACACAGAACAAACATTATTGGGAATTAACTTAAATTAAAATAAATATAAACTTAGAATTAGAATAAATATGAACTTAGAATTAGAACTTGTCATGTAATTAAAGTGTGCTCCTAACTGTTAATTGTTTTTCTAGATTACTGAGTGTTCTAGCTTTAATTTCTTTTCTAAACATTCTTTAATAATGTGTGCTACTTGCTACAGTTACTTCTCAAAAATAAATTTAATAGATTCTCGCTTTTGTAAACAGAACTTTAGAGAAAGAAAATATTCAAAACACTGTCCGAACCTGTCCATCGGCGCCTGCTTCGACCTCCTCAATTCGTTCTGAGAGTTGGATCACTTGAACACTGAGGTCAGCCTTCTCTCGTTCAACCTGCGGATGCGAATACAATTAGAAACTTTGCAGGGCAGCGGTATATAATATAAAGTAATATAATGTGAAGTGTTGCTATAGAAATTAAAGCCATTATAAAAAATGCAATGGAAGAGTTATTCATAACCTGACGCAAAAGATATAGCAAGAAAAAGGCTGAAAAGTTAATACATTTAAGTATGTACTTGTATTGATTATTAGTGAAGGTAACGGCAATTTGTTAGTTACAAAGAACAACATTTCAACACACTTATCGGTAGGCTTAACCTACAAGTACAGAACATGTTGTGTATACATACACCGTTCCCCCCTCAGTATATGTATTCATATACTGTATAGTATATTAATAGAACGTCGCATCTTTTGTCGTGTACTCTACCTAGGCCCATTGTCAAATAGATGGAGATGATGATACTCTTGATACCCCTTAGATAATTACATCTTTTTGTTGCCTCTAGATAATGGCATCTATTTGTTACCCTCAGTTAATGTCATCCATTTGATTCCCTTATATGACACATTATGGTACCCGTAGATAATGACATCTTTTGGTATCCTTGGATAGTAGCTTCCGTTGGTACTCTTAGATAATGACTTCCTTTTACTATCCTTAGATAATATCCGTAGATAATGACATCTTTTGGTAACATTAAATACTGAAATCTTCTTGCTTCCCTTAGATAATGATACTATTTTGCTACCCTTAGATAATGACATAATTTTGCTACCCTCAGATAATGACATAATTTTGTTACCCCTTATTTAATGTTATCCTTTTACTACTCTTAGATAATATTAGATAATATATCAGCAACTTAAGGAAAAAACTTCTAGATGGCCTGAAAAAGTTGAATAACAGCAGGCAGTAATACACAATTAAGCTAATTATAGTTGGCAATAAAACACAGGCTTATTATAGCCGGCAATAAAATAAGATTATTATAAAAACCATACAAGAATTAAGCTTATCACAAACCAAACAAAATTGATCTTATTACAGCAGACAAAAGGCATCGATGCTTATTATTATGGCACACACAAGATCAAATTCTATTATATCAAACAAAACACGACTTAGGCTATATTAGTTATTGCATTACTCTCCATGAAGTTGGGTGTTATACAAGGCACGTTTTGCCTAAGTTAATTATCTAAGCCTAGCCTAAAGGCTAAGAAATTGAAAATGAAATTGAAATTGAAATTATTGTATGCTTGTGGTAGTGAGCTACCACAGTTAGTTAAGCACCGGGAGTCTCCACGGTGAGTTTGTGATGGAGTATTTCTTATGAAAGGAAGTGGAGTTACAGCAGTAGCAGGGGAAAGCAGGTAGCGTGTGTCTGCTGACTTAGCAGAAAGTACTAATGCAGTAGCAGGTGGGAGAGTACACACAAGCACCAATAATACTTACCCTCTGCCTGAGTTCCCTCTCGTACTCGATGTCCTCCATAAGCAGGCGGATCTTGTCCTGAAATAAAGAGAGAGTATATGGTCAGTGAGGGGGACCAACAAAGAGTACATGGTTAGCGAGATATCAAGAAAAAGTACATGGTCAGTAAGGGGGCACTTGAGACACAGCTGCAGCGGGCCGAGTCGAACATGGGACGGGGGGCAGTATTCTACCCGCTACTCAGCTAACGTTACTGGCATTCACTGAGTCACGGAGAAAGCACTCGCACCCCCTCTCTGCTCTCAGGCAGCCAGCAAGCAAACCCTGCCAAACATTTTCGCTCCCTCACCCACCAATACCTCTTCTTCAACACCTCTCTCTCTCTCCTTCCTTCCACCAACACCACCATCTTTCTCAACACTGCTCTAACCAGTGCTTGGTTATGGTGCCTGGCCCCCTGTGTTTTGAAGGAAGCTTGAGAGTAATAATTCACTGCCTCTGTGTTTTAAGACGCGTGTGTTTGCCAAGACAAAGAATCAAACTTTGTGTAATTGCCCGATGAATCAAAAGTTGATATATTTATTCCGGGACTGAATGACTCCGAAACATGGCTCGTCAGATTTATTCATCACCCGAATCAGTTCATCATCACAACAATCAGCTCATCAACACCACATTCTACCCCACACCCATCAGCTGGTGTGGCGCACCACACCCATCAGCTGGTGTGGCGCACCACACCCATCAGCTGGTGTGGCGCACCACACCCATCAGCTGGGGTGGCGCACCACACCCAACAGCTGGGGTGTAGGGTGGGAGAAGCAAGGTGTCAATATGAGTGGAGGAAGGCCGCCTCCCGAAATGGTTCTACCAGCGGGCCTTGGCGTTTATTTTAGCTCAAGAACGTCTTGGCTGTCTGCCCTACCCCTGGCTCCACTCCCCACACATGCACACGTGCGCGCGCGCACGCACGCACACACACACACACACACACACACACACACACACACACGTAGACACACACACACACACACACACACACACACACACACACACACACGTAGACACACACACGTAGACACACACACACACACACGTAGACACACACACACACACACACACACACACACACACACACACACACACACACACACACACACACACCACACCACACACACAGCTCGAGATGCAGGCAGGAGTGAAAGGGAAGGTATTCCATTGGATAAGGGAGTTCCTAAGCAACAGAAGACAGTGAGTCACTGTGAGGGGTGAGGTCTCTGATTGCCGAGACGTCACCAGTGGAGTCCTGCAGGGTTCAGTCCTTGGACCCATACTGTTTCTGGTATACGTAAATTATCACCCAGAGGGTATAGAATCGTTCCTCTTATTGTTTGCTGATGATGCAAAAATTATGATGCGGATTAAGGCGGAGTAAGACTACGTGGAGTAAGTGAGGCTACAAGATGACCTAGACAGACTGAATGAATGGTCCAACAAATGGCGTTCAACCCGAGTAAATGTACGATAATGACACTAGGCGGTGGAAACATGAGGTCAGACACAGGATACAGAATGGGAGATGAAGTACTTCATGAAACAGAGAGAAAGATCTAAGAGTTGATATCACACCTAACCTGTCTCCTGAAGCCCACATAAAAAGAATTACATCTTCGGCATATGCGAAGCTGGCTAACTTCAGAACAGCCTTCAGGAACCTGTGTAAGGAGTCATTCAGAACTTTATATACGTTGATTCTGGAGTATGCGGTAAGATCAATCCTGGAGTATGCGGCCCCAGCATGGAGCCCGTACCTTGTCAAGAACAAGACGAAGCTGGAAAAAGTTCAGAGGTGTGCCTCTAGGCTAGTCCCAGAACTTAAGAGGCATGAGTCATGAGTAAAGGCTGCGTGAAATGCACCTCATGACACTGGAAGACAGAAGAGTAAGGGAAGACATGATCACTACCTACAAAATTCTCAGGGAAATTGACAGGATGGACAAAGACAAACTCTTCAGCACGGGTGGAACACAAACAAGGGGACACAGGTGGAAACTTAGTGCTCAGATGACCCACAGAGACATTAGAAAGAATTTTGTCAGTGTCAGAGTAGTTAACAAATGGAATGCATTAAGTAGTGATGTAATGGAGGCTGACTCCATACACAGTTTCAAATGTAGATTTAATAGAGCCCAATAGACTCAGGAATCTGTACACCAGTTGATTGACAGTTGAGAGGCGGGACCAAAGAGCCAGAGCTCAACCTCCGCATGCACAACTAGGTGAGTACACACACAAACGTACTAAGGAAGTAAGTCTCACATTAATGAAAGCAAAAATATGGGAAACAATCGTAACATACAACATATGCAGTAAAATCAGCAAGAAGACACGTGAGATATTTATCTTGAAAGAAATACGATTGAAGAGACACCAGTCAAAAATATTTTCAGTGTCTTAAGACTGTAAGCAGTATATTGGTGTGGCATGAACTCTGGAGCGAGTCACTGGCCTCCTGACGTATAGTTGCTTCTCTGTCTTTCTCCTCTACGTCCGTGCTTCTTGCCCTTTGGAGCATGTGGGTTATGTATCTTAAAGTATGCTCTCACAATACTCATTCTTCATCTTCTCATACTTACTATTAATCCCTCATTGAAAGAATGCACACTATACTCTTATCTTTCTAATTTACGACAACCTCTTAGACTGTCTTTAGGGCCATATGTTGCTCTCTTTCATATTTGTCTTTTTCCGAAGTTATGCACTGTTCAGTGGGTATCTTTGCCTATGCACTGATTTATTACTAAAAATCTTACTCAGAGTCAAAAGAAGATACAATAGATCCCAGAGGGCTCAAGAAATAGTACAGCATTTAATTGGACGGTAAGAAGCTAGAGCACAGAGCTGAAGTCCACCTCCCACAAGCACACATACCTGCTTGCATACTCAAAATCAAGTGAGTAAATGACGAGAGGGACACAAACAGAACTAAAGAGACTGGATGTAAAGATATATAGAGATGAATAAGGTTATTTAAGGAGAAAATGCTAAACCAGTATGATTATATAGCACTTGGAAGGAATATAAAGACAAGGATCTCATATATGAGGACAGAGTAAAGTAAAATAGTGTTCAGCCACTTGGACCACTGGGGATGGAACACCGACCCTGCAAGAAGCAAAGTGGTCGCTCTACCGACTAGTCTATGTAGTCTATATTAATCTCCAAAGCAATTATTATTCCTGATAATACTAAAACCCTCTGGTTAAGGTTTAAGATCCCATCCAAGCAAGACATCAACATAACAACGGGCTTTAATTAAGAAACCTGCAAAGTGATTTTTTTTTCAACGCTGCCCCATTGGTAACAAACAGAGTCTGCGATAAACAAGACTTTAACACTCGCCATAAAATTAGCGTTGATCTCACTGTGGAACTTACCACTGTCGGGTCTCATTGTGGAGCTTACCAGTGTCGGTCTCGCTGTGAAGCTCACCAGCATGGCATCTGCTTCTTAAAGATCTTGTCATACCAAATGAGGTTTAACAGATACTGAGATAAAATCGTAATGAACAATGAAGAACAGAAACGAGAGATCGGTGTATTTCGGGTTGTAGGCTTCGTTGTTGAATGTTAAGATGTAACAAATTGTTTTGGATTGAAGCACGGTAACCGAGTGCCTTGGTGGTGTCTAAATCAGTTAAGTAAATCCCTTCCAGTTACAGTTGGCAGTGATGCAGATCTGATGACTTAGCAGTGTCATATTCGGAGAAGTCTTTAGTGTGTACTCAACCCATACCTATAGGACTGAATGCTGTATCATTTTTACTTTTTAATATTTGTTTGGTATTAGCCTCGACTACTTCCTCCTCCTAACTCATTCAATCATTCAATTTTATTATTACATTTGCTCAATTAAGAGCATTTGGGGTGGAACAGTGGTGTATGTGTCTTTGGTGCAGTGGAAGTGTAGTTCACGTTTCCTTGGCAAGATCAGTATTGATGTCTTTGTTGGGGTGGAATAGTGGTGTATATTTCTTTGGCGAAAGCAATAGTGTCCGTGTCCATGGTGATAGCATTAATTTTCTTCTGTGTTAGAAGGGCGACCTATCCAGTCGCTCATTCACATTGATGAGGTGCAAGTCCGGCTACTTCCCTCTACCAGTGGCCGGGATATCCTTTGTTATCTACACTGATGTATTTTTATCTAGGGTGCAAGGGAGTTGCAATGTAACTTTTAAACTTATGATGCATAATGTTTATACTCCTAAAAAAAAGTCATATTATGTAACTTGCAATTGTTCATATTGGAGTTTAACATGGAAGTCTTACTAAGCAATAGAATCAGACCTGAAGAACTTTTGGCAACCCTAGTCTGTCAAAAGGGTCACCTTGCTCACGTTAACCTTCATCCCGGACAGGCCCCCATTTTATGTGTAAAGTAACAGTGTATTTGGGTGCACTTTTAGGTATTTTTTCATACAATAAATATAAGGCATGTGTGGAAAATTAAATATAATCAGTTAGCACAAAGTGATAACGGAATTATTACTATTTATTATTAATACTGTTTATATTACTTACTGTTTAGAATTATTATTATTACTGTTTAAACCAATAGTCGAAAGTGCACCCACTTTTGTGTACCATTACGAAAGCAAGTCATAGCAGTTGAGAGCGGTTACCTTGAGGTTACCTTGAGGTGCTTCCGGGGCTTAGCGTCCCCGCGGCCCGGTCGTCGACCAGGCCTCCTGGTTGCCGGACTGATCAACCAGGCTGTTGGACGCGGCTGCTCGCAGCCTGATGTACGAGTCACAGCCTGGTTGATCAGGTATCCTTTGGAGGTGCTTATCCAGTTCTCTCTTGAACACTGTGAGCGGTCGGCCAGTTATGCCCCTTATGTGTAGTGGAAGCGTGTTGAACAGTCTCGGACCTCTGATGTTGATAGAGTTCTCTCTCAGAGTACCAGTTGCACCTGTGTTTCAACGGGGGTATTCTGCACATCCTGCGGTGGTGTAATTTGCTTTTGAAACCAGTTGTGTGTCCTTGGTTTACACGGGAGATATCTCCCGTCACGCAGGG